CGTACATCACCAGATACAATCCAGAAAGTATCGGATTCTGCAGCTCTAGTTGCGCGATGCATGAATACGGCAGTTGCTGGCAACTATCAAAGTTTAGCCAGGGAAGCGGCGTATAACAATATAACGGGAAAGACGTACATCCAGCGCAGATGTCGAAGAGTAATGAGGTGTCTCCACGGCGAAGTGAGGGAACAGTAACAGTATATTTTCATCAACACACACCTGGGGAACCGTCCAAATGTCAGGGAAACCATCATCGCCAGGGCAAACTATGAAAGTGCCACCAGGAGAATATGTAATTGGCCCCCCCGTGCGGTAGGTCTCCGTTACGCACGTCCGACTCTCCACACCCCAAACTCGCAAGGTGGCATCCTGCGCCACAGATGATACAGTCCTGCCATCAGGAGACCATGTTACATATACAGGCATTTCTTTGCCACCCTCTAAGGGAGGTGGATCCATATCGTCCTTTTCTAGGTCCCACAGGTAGATGATATTGTCAGCCATTCCAAATGCCACCTTTGTAGCATCCTGGGAGAGTGCCATGCACAAGACCGCGGGGCCGTTGAGAGTAATGGTCTTGATGGACTCCATAGAAATTGTGCTCCAAATCGTTACGCCACTCCTATGAGCTGCGAGCAGCTTCTCGCCATCATGAGACAGAGTAGCCAGAGAACGGGCATCGAGGGAAACTTGGAATTGTTGCTCGACTTCGCCTGTGGCTGCTTTCCAGATAAAGACGACCCTATCCCTAGATAGACTGACAATGGTTCTAGCATCTGCCATAAATCCTACGACGATAAGTCCGTCTCGATGACTGGTAAATGTGTTCCGGGATTGTCCAGTGACGGCATCCCAAAGCCCAATTGTTTGGTCGTCTGACGCACTGGCAATAAAGCAACTGTCAGTGGAGTAGTGTACAGAGTTGATAGTACTCTGGTGTGCTATTATCGGTGGGAAAATACGTTGGCGACGATCGACGTCCCAAAGTGTGAGGGTGCCATCAATAGCCCCAAAGGCAACTTGTTTGCCGCTTGGTGATATGGAAACCGATATAACGTTGTCGCGAATGTCGTCGACCTGCGAATCTGACATGGAGGGATAGAACAGATGAGCCACCGGATATACATCTGCGTCTTAAAGAGTTCCCGGACAGTCGCAGGGTCATGAATCGGCCTACATGTGTAGCACAACAAGTTTTTTTGGGAAAAAAAAATGACGCTGCATCTGTAACATTAAACAAACAAAAATAAAACAGCTGATTGCGCGACTTTTGCAGTTATGCGCAGAAAATTTGCAGGTGGCTGTGCCCACAGCCACTGACTAAGCAGGGCACGTGCACGGGGAAGTGGGCGAGTCAGGGCTGCACGCACTCCTCGCCCATTCCTCGGGACTCGTTTCGATGCTGCTACTAGCCACTATACATAATCCATGTAATACTGTAATGGGTATTTTGCCAAGAAATGGGCCCAAATTCGCTAGGCCAGTGATGTTGTGGCGCGAAGTGCGGTCACATGAACACACCCTCGTAGGTGCAGGTGGCAACTTGCAGGTGGCGATGCCGTGGGAATTTTCCCGAAGGAGCAATCCCGCCACCAGGCGGAGGGGCAGGGGAGGGGGTCGAGCGTTCGAGCAGGGCCTGTGGGGCATCACGACCTCGTGGATTGGGCGGGATGACCGGGGAGGGTGTCGACGAACTGTGTTCACGTCCTGCCTACGTTTATCTATTTTATCTGCCCTCCTAGCTAGTGCAAAGTGGTGCAAAATGGCTGTGTTAAAAATTATGCAGGGGTAGTATAAAAAGTTGCGCAGGAACAGTACTGCAAAAGTCGCGCAATCAGCTGTTTTATTTTTGTTTGTTTAATGTTACAGATGCAGCGTCATAGAGACTAGCCGAACAGTATGCAACTTATTTCCGCAGAACTACTAGCAGACTCCTGGCTATGTCACGCCGATGTCACATGGGATCAGTGCGGCGATACGTAGAGGGAAACAAGTAAGAAGGGCATTACAAGAGAGAATTACATAACTATGGGTGTAGTGTTCGATCCCCACGGAATAGCGATTTTCATTTTGAAACAACAACTTCTGAGAAGGCGTGCAGTGACAATGATACCTCAAGTCAGATGTAGAGGGCTGTCCATGACCGGTCAGACCGCCCACCATTTCGTCGTTTAGGTAACACTCGTTCGAATCCCCCTCCTTCAACCCTTTGCATCACTAATCCTGAGATCTTGAAAAACATGTTTAACTTCCCTCAATCTATACCGGTCCGATCATTCTTCACTATAGTAGTGGCCAGAACGTTCCAGCGCAACTTCGGAAATTGGGATCATCCCCGGAGCACAACAGAATTTTAAACCATTGGATTGGAAGCGCTCGAGTCAGATCAGCACCAGTGCAGTGGACAACCGCGCCGTTCTTGCTTTGCTGTGTAAGTATTTTCGCCACAATAATAGACTTCTACTCCGTATATCCGATACTTGTTCGCCACAGCTACGTCACCCCCGATCAGTTATAGTCGCATGTGCTACAACGGATCATCGCGGCCATAGAGGGAGAACCAGGTTTAGGTAGGTAAGATTCGCTTAGTCCTCCCTCTTGTTACTTGGCGGATGTTACAAGAGTTGATTGCACGTGCCCTCGAAGTAGCACCAAGTAGGCCAATACTTTGTTACAAGGATGTCCTAGTTAAAACAACAACTCCCGATACGGCGTCCTGTGTCATAACACGAATAAATTCCGTGGGGGGAGATGATACTTCGGTTTCGCATAGGCATTCAAAGGTTATCAGTTGCCCGTTTCGGGCGACACGTGTCCGAGTGCCCCCATCAACAAATTGAATCGTATATTCCTCCAAGAATACCAAGTCTCTTACTATGGGCGATGTCAGCAATTGACTAACCATAATAAGTAGTATACACGTCGAGCCAAGAAGACGGGGACCAGGGCCATGCAAAGCGATTTGAACTGCAGTACTCCGTGGGAGGGTAGGCCAGCCCAAGGCGGTTCGCTAAGGCAACGCGTTTATCTCATGTCTGTTGCAGAAGCTACGTTGCGACATCAGATAGCTATCTGTTGCGGGAAAGCAGTAAACCTTAACCTGCCTTATATCGCCGAAAACGTGGCTTTCACGGAGGATAAGAAGCACCGAGTCGGACAACGCTTCACAGGACAAAGTAATATGGGCGCGAACTGAATTTAACTATCGTTCTGTGTCCCATGGGAGCGGTCACTGAGACGGCTGGCTCGACTAGTACGGTACGAAGTAGGAAGCAATTCCACACCCACTTTCTCGATTGCGTGAGCTGCAGAGCAATAGGCATCTGAGAGAAACCGACCACCAGGTAGTAACGGACGAGACGTGTGAAGCACATCGATCAATCTCTGGCGTCAAGTTGGACGAAGAGCAGTGCAAGTGGGTCATATTACACTGAATCTGGACATATATTCTCCTAAGTTAGGACTGGAGCGGAGATGATCGCGGCTCGGCGTGCATTCCGTCGTGTGGGAGGACAGAAAAATGTACTGATCGGTGATACGTCCTGCGGAGCGTACTTAACGTGGTCAATGATTTTAGTGCGCAATGGAATGATCGGCTTATCTGCAGTCCTACCAGAAAAACCTGACCACGGAGAGGACCAATTTCCATGCTAGACTCTGCTGGGTACCGTTCGAAGGGGAAAAAAAAAAGCTAGATTGACCTGCATGCATCTAGTCGTACTTGCAGTCGATTACACATCACATCTTGCTTGATTCGTGCTTGCGCAGCAAATATACCTTCGCCTCTGCGGTCCTTTCTGGCTCGGACCGCACCTTGCTTAGGTTCAGGAATAGATAAGCAAGGTGATAGCCGAAGGCAACTGACGAACCTTACGAACGAGGCACTGGGAAGAAGTTAATAGTGAGATCTCCGCCCCGTTCACACCGGAAAGCTGCCCAGTCATATCAAATAATTGAAACCAACCAACCAACCAACCAAGACCAATCCGACGGTGAGTAGGTAATTTTACACGTTCACTCGCCTAGGAACATTGCAGGGGGGGGGCACTAGCGCACAGGGTGGCGCAGGCCCCGGAAAAAAAAAAAAAAAAAAAAAAAAAAAAAAAAAAAAAAAAAAAAAAAAAAAAAAACAAAGTTAGGGTAAGGTCCAAGAAGGTACCTGCTGTACCTGAGATGAAACACGATCACACATTTATTGCACACTCTGAATCATTGCTTGTCAGCCTCACCAGGCACAGTAGAATCGCTAGGGAACTAAAGATGAGCACAAGTCATTAGTACTGTACTTGGGGTAATTGTAAAGGAAGGATTTCTCACTTGACCAACGAAGCGTGAGGGCGCCGCCACCAAAATGTTTCAGCATGTTTGCCATCCCGGCACATCGGAACATTGAAACATTGCTTTAAAGCTAAAGCTAAAGCCTAACAGAAAGAAAAGGGCTTGCGCAATGCTTGCCTTACCAATTCAACGCCACCCGAGACCGGCCATCACTTACATATCCTGAATGAGTCAAGTGCACCCCTGAATATCCGAGGTCCTGCTAGAGAGTTGGTGCATATGAACGCGAGCATGTATATAGACATCAAAGACAAGTGATGTTACTCTCGCACGAATATTAGCCGTGTTTGGTGAAAGCACGTAAAATTTTACCAGTGACAAAGCAAGTCGGGAAGGGCTCCGAGATGAAATCTGGTTGAGTAGAATACGACGGTCGGATCAGTGGCTAGAGCGTGAAAAAGAGCCTATCGGTCACTCAAGAGATGCAAGCCAAACCAGCACTGTCGAGTCGAGCCTCGGTCCGTCTATAGGGTTGCCGTCTGCTGCCGTGGTATGCAAACAACCGCCACTACGCTGCGAGCAGCATTCTTGTACGCGTGCGCCCGCCTTTTGCATGGGTTGACGGATCTCAGAGTCTACTAGGAAGCTCTAGGCAGTGTGCAGAGAGGATTTTGGGGTAGACGTCAACTCGAGTACACATCCAGCTAGTGCCGGTGAAAATGCACGATTTGGATCATCAGCTTCGAGAACTTCAGCTCATTCGCTGCTCCCTGATGCCCGGAGAAGTCTTCTCATTCGTCCTTCCGTCAGAAGATGTGATCATTTGGTCTTCACTGCTGGACGCCCTCGACAACGGTGTAGACGATGAGACTGGACTACCTACTGCGGACACACCCCCGTGTTCTGCAAGGATCTCGATACGGGTTCCCGGTTCGCCTGTTTGGTTTGAGGTCCGGGTTCCGGAAGGACCTATACTACGATGTTCGGACGTATGCGTAAGGGGAGAAAACATTTCTCGTGATCAGCAGGAACATTGGCAATCTGTGATCTCGCAGAGCATAGCAGAAGTGCAGGACAGTGAGTGAGTGTACTAATATTTCCACAAAATGGTGCGGAAAATGTGACAGTAAAATTCCCTCCACCATTCCATTACATAGATTCCCGGTTTACGAGCTACTTTCTCTACACTTACTCCCCAAACTTCACGAGCACAACCAAAATTTGGTTTTGCCAACGTCCACAGGCCCGCCCTCCGAGATTCATTCCCATCAACCGAAAGTTTTTCATGCATTACTTACTTCACATCATCTCGTTTCCGTGACAAAACGCAAGCTTATGAAAGCGTGGTCGTCGGAACTCCACATCGCCGGATTTGCGAGGATCGGATACCCGGGATTGATCTACGCCGAAGGAGGGAAGGAGAACGTTGAAGAGTTCGTAAGGAACGTGAAAGGAATGAATTGGCTAGCACTCAGGGTTAGATTCATTGAGCAAGTGGAGCCGGAATCAGGGCAGGCCGCTAGCGTGGGGGATGGATGGGTGGAGGTGCAGAGAATTTCAGAGGTATTGGAACTTATGCGAAAGAGGGGGCGGGAATCATACATCACCCAGCACGGCATTGGCAACAGTTCAAAGTAAATAAAAAACGCACGTAGTGTCTTCAAATAACTCAGAGGCAAGAAATACATACACGAAATTGTCAACAAAAAGTTCTCTTTGATTTACCATTCATACGAGGACGCATCGTGATAGATCAGTACCTCCTGTCATCGTAGCGGCCACCACGCTCATAGTCACGGTATCCCCGATCATAGTCACGGTACCCTCGATCATACTCACGGTGTCCTCGGTCATGGTCGCGGGCGCCTCTGTAGTCGTCGTAACGACCTCCACGGCGGCGCTCATCGTGAGTAGGGTCACGAGAATAGCGACTATCGTAAGGACGAGGATCGTATGGACGCTCGTCTGTAAATAGGGGTTAATGACATCCACCACGCCGTGGAAAAAAAAAAAACTTGCGTGTGTAGCGCTTGGGTGGTCCATAATAGCGCCCCGGCGTAGGAGTACGAGCACGTCCACGGCGAGCCTGATACGCCACAGTATCGTCAGCGTCTCACTCGGTAGAGCTACAGATCACGATGTACCTTTTCAACTGTCATGACTTTGCCCATCAACTCTGTCGCGTTCAAAGCAGTAATGGCAGCATCCGCCTCTTCGGCTGTCTCCATAGTGACGAACCCGAATCCCCGGGATTCGCGAGTATGGGGATCGTACATGACTGACGCCTTCTTCACCTATTCGCTCAACCACAACATTAGCAAGTATTTCATCGAAAAAAACGAAGACATACACGGCCAATCTTGACAAAAGCCTGCTCCAAATCGCGAGTATCGACCCGGTGACTCAAACCAGAGACATGAAGGTTGTTGCCGGGGTTATGGCCCCCCTCGCCGCGACTATGGGCCAGACAGTGTGAGTCACTATAAACCAGCACTGAATTAAGACCCAACCAACCTTCCTCTATCGTCCCGCCCCGGGCTCATGCTCCTGCTGGAGCGACGAGGAGGCTCCCCGCGGTCCCTTACTGGTGACCGTCCACCTCCGTTCCAAACTGGCTCCTCGGCAGGAGCACCCGAGCCATTGGTGGGAATGCTGATACCCGAAGGTGCCATATCTTGTGCTTGCCAAGCTGAAAAAGGGAAGAAGATGCGGGAAAAAAGGGGAAGAAAATATCAACGTCGGTTCCTTGGGGAAACGGTGGGGGACTGGAAGGAAACGAAGACGTGCATGAGGACATAACACGGGGTGAATGGAAACTAGCATCCCTGTAGAATGCTAGGAATGATTGCCGAAAGTGAAAAAGTCGGTGGGTAGTAGAGGATAGCTGGAAGCGCCGGTCGAAACACCGAAGCAGACAGACAGCATGGGTTTGCCAGCCTTGAGCCGGACGTTAGTTGGTTACTGGGACAACTGATTTCTGTCGCCGTTATTTTTTTTCAACCGGACTGCTGAAACGCTGAAAGCCGATATGGCGGAGGGGAGAACTACATTGTACGCAGGCGGATTGCGTGCCGGTGGCAGAAGAAAATATCGAATGCACAAACTGCTGTCGCCGTCGGGGCTGATGCTGAGGACGTACCGTCATCCATTGTTGAATAGCTTGCTGACCCCGGAGTCGTTGTCAATGCCGATGAGCGTCAGCTACGGTGTCGAAGTGAAGAGTGGAGAGGTTTTCAAAAGGTGACAAACATGGACACACAAGTAACGCCAATCATAACAAAGTACAATATGCACTTGGGACTGCCAAATTCGAGAATTCACCACTATTAGCATGCAATCTTGTTGGTGGTGAATGATATGTGGTACCTGATCAAAATTTATTATAATCTTTTCGACTGTACCACTGGGGTATTACAGGGGATTCTAAATCAGTCTTCCGCTCGACCAGTTAAGATATGTAGGAGTGTTCTTAAGCCAGGAAACCAGTTCCTCCCGCCTGACCTTGATACCCTGTTCCGTGGACTGCACCTTCGCCTTCTTGCCGTCGACGAACTCCCACTTCTGTTCTTTGACAGTCACCAGACCTTCTTTAAGCTCGTCAGCTCCAAGGATAATGTCAAACGGGACTTCGTCCTTCTCAGCCGCGGAAAATTGGGCCGGTAATTTCGGTTTCCTCTTGGCGAGGAAATCCGTCTGAAGTGTACAATCAGATAAATGTCGCGTCGTGGATATTTGAAAATGACGAACTTTTATACCGGCTTCTCTCAATTCTTGAACAAGCCTAATGCGCTCCTCGAGTAGCCCATCGCCAGCGGCCATAACATACACCATCGTTTCTTTACTGCGCATCCCCTTCTCCACCCATTTCGGCCAAATAATGGCGAATATCCGGTCCATGCCGATGCTAACGCCAATGCAAGGTAATGAGGCGCCTTTCTTCCCTTCACCAGCAGCCGCTGATGTAAACAAGCCAACGAGATTGTCGTAGCGTCCCCCAGCTGCAATCGACCCAACGCCCACTTGAGATTCGTCGACTTCTTCCTCTTCCTCGAGGGTTTCGGTCTTGGACTTTTTGAACTTCTTCTTCGGTGGCGCCGGCGCCAGTGCTCCGTCTGTAACTGGAGAGACAACCGCATTTGCAGAACTGAAGCCCGGAGGGGCCGACGCTTCTACGATGGCTTCATAGATTATTCCGGTATAATAGTCGAGGCCTCGAGCCAGCGACATGTCAAACGAGATCTGCTCCTCTATTACTAATCTGATCACTTTGGAGAATAAACGAGACTCACTCTGTCGATTACATTATTGTAAGCTTTGAGAAGCGCAAAGAGCAGCTCCATGTCCTGCACACCCTGTTTGGCGCTTGGATTAGACATCAAAATTTCGTCGGCTTTGAGTTGTTCAAGGAGGGCTGGTCCACCTGTGGCAACAAACATTGTCGTCGATATTCATATTTAGGTAACTGAGAGTATTCCATACCTTTGTGCTTGACGTATTCACCTATTTTATCGGCTACTTCGGGGCTCAAACCCTTTTCTTCTGTCATTTCCTTCTTCACATCCGACCACGGGACCTGCGAAAGGGTTAGTCGAGGCCTCGACTTAATGTTTGAATCAGCCAGCCTGCCTTGTCCAGTTTATCTACAGCAGAGGAGATTGACCGTATCTTCTCTGGAGGCACGCCGCACACCTCGAATATACCGTCCAAAATCTTGCGATGATTGATCTACGATGGGGTTAGACGATAATCGAGTACCAATGAAAATATAAGTACCTTGATGGTAAATTCACCAACCTCGAGTTTGGAGAGAATAGTACAGAGCAAGCTGACTATCTCTGCGTCCGGTATCATAGGATCCCAGACGCCAACGATATCCAAATCCTGAGCAAAGCCGATATTTTCAGACCAAGACAGAAAGTAAAAGGCGGAGTAACGTACGGCCTGCATGAATTCCCGCATCCGGCCCTTGGACATAACTGGACTATCCCGCCTATACACCTTGCCAACCTGCCAGATCTTGCCCTGAATCGTTGCCCCAGACATGGCGATATATCTTGCAAGCGGAACTGTGTGGTCGTATCTCAACGCCAACTGCTCCCCGCCCTCATCCATCAGGTCGAAAATAAGTTTCTGGTCCTCGCCATACTTTCCAGCTAGAACATCCTTCCTCTCAAACACGGGGGTATCCAGAGAGCTCCCCCCATATGTCATAAACACGTCCTTCACTATTCTCTCGATATGGTCGCGACAGTACGTCTCCGCAGGCCCATAGTCCCTTGTTCCCTATATAAGAAGAGAAAACAGAAAAGCACCTAATTGAGTATTTCATGTTCCGAGATTTCAAGTCTGTGCCGTCCCACTTCTGCAGGCAGCAGCAATCTTAACCGACCTTGGCAGTTTTAAGCAGAAGCCGTTCCCGCTTCTTAGCATCGTCTTTGTCGCCCGATACCGCAGTCGCTCCATTCACGGCGGAGTCAGTAGCTCTAGCGGTCGCGGCCAGTCTCCGTTTTAGTTCACCCAGTTCCTTCTTCGTAGCGTCCAACCTGACGGGATCGTTGTTTTGAAGGCGCAGTTCGTTCAGAATTGCAGTTTGCTTTTTGATTTCGGCGCTAAGAGAATCTGCAGTTGACATTTTGCGCGAGGTGTCTCGGACGAGACGAGTGATGGTAGATCGATAGGGAATCTGGAGCACACATCTCAACAGCATATCAGAACAGGTAAATTGTCGCGGAATGACTTGACTCGACGGGACCCCGAACACCTCTTCGTCTCCACCGAGGGTCAACCAATTGTATATAATGATCGTGTCTAGGCTCTAGCAAACAAACCTGAGTATCTACATGAACACTTGGTATTATTATTTGTTGCTGCGTATATTCTCTATCCAGTTCTCACGTCACATTCGTTTAACGTACCCGTCCTGTTGAATGTCCCTCGTGTCTCGCCAAATACCTTCTGCGTCCTTCTTGCGCACTGTGAAGCACGCGATGCCGAGGTATTCCGTGATATCCTTGATAACGAGCGCGCAGAATCGGGCGTACGCCAGAAAAGACACCGCGAGCGTTAGGTATATAAACAATGCCGTCCGCTTTGGGGTCGATTGGATGATAGGGAACCTTGCAACAGTGGTGTGAACGGCATTGTATACGACAGAATATAACACACCTGTCCAGTAAATGGGGTAAATGGGCATCAAGCACACCGATAGCATTCCAGATCCACAACGGGTTCCATACGGGAAAAGGCGAACTTGTGACGTGGCTCAAAATCATCTTCCCTACCTGATGTGCAAACTGCAAACCCCAAGCACACAAAAACGGGAGGAACAGTGGTGAATGGATGATAGCGGAGTTGGAAAATGATGGGTTGAGTAACCATAACGCTTGCAAGGTCACTGATACCACGAAGGGAAAAAGGGTGAGTAATGGTCGGATTCTTGATTTCCCTGATGCTTTCATGGCCTTGCGGACGTTTCTGTAGCTTATCCGCGAAATCAGTGCCGGCACAACACCCCAAACCTACTATGTAGAGAATACCTGGATACTATGTTAAACGCAAGACCAAATCCCGCGAATACCATGAAGGCCTCATTCAAGCGGATATTCGGCACATGTTTCGTTACCCAAGGTATCATATCTAAGTGGGTAAAAGAGAGGATGCGTTTGTCCCAGAACGAGGGTCCTTTGTCGTGTTAGTATATCAAAGCCACAAGTAGGGAGTTTCCTGTACCGAATAAGCCAGAGATCGTGTAGATGGCTACGATCATGAGGATGCCTTCCACGGGACCTGAGAATGGGCCGAGATATAATTGCCCTGTGTAGTATTCCTCCCACGTCGTTAAATAGAAGTTTGCGAGTGTAGCAACTTGTGATGCAACAGTCCACCAGGATCGTCCCAAGTTCAAAGCTCGGGCAGCCAAGATGACCTCAAGCTGTAAACCTATAAGTTAAGCAACAACGATAGAGCGAGGACTGACATACCGTCGTATTAATCGCGTCACAGCCTGATCAATTCAGGTAAGCAACCGGACCGAGTGGAAATGCGATGACGAACCGTGATCGAACATTTCACCAAGGGGCCCAGCCATGCCAGTACGCCGTGCTTGTTTTCTACTCCATAGGTCAGCGGCGCGAACTAGCAAAGGTGAAAGACCTTGCCCATCAACAGCGTCAAAACTTTGGTACATAAACAGCCCGATAGCCCACCTGCATTGCGGTGTAAGAGCACAGCATCACATTACAACAAAGCCCACATACGTGAAATAAACCCATTGGGGAGGCCCACCGTGACCGTCATTATCAGTATAATACAAAGGATCGTAAATCAGCAGCGTGAGGACGTTAAACGCGACAATAGCAAGGCCAAGTAGGGTGATCTGCAATGAAATTTTAGCGACGCCGTTTTGAAGGTAGTGGCTGAGGGGAGATCATCCATACAGTATTAGGTGCAATAGAGAGCGGCCAAAGGGTGATAAACCAATTCCAGTACGGTGCAAGGATGTATCGCGATACCAGGGACCTGTCGAACCGCGTAATGGTTGACGCCGGGTTAGTATGGTAAAGAGTTCCACGTACTCATCTACACTCTTGTAGGCATATTTCTTGAGGTTTCTTAAGGCTGATGGCGAGAGATAAGCCATAACCCTCTAACAACGTGGAGTTCGAACGAAGGAAAACAAGGAGAACCGAAGAGAAAATGGGATCAAAACGCTGTGAATCCGTCAGAGAATCCATAGATGCAGTCCAAAAAACCTTGGCCCACTCCCAATAACATCATCGCACGTGCGCGATCACGTGAAAATATAGCCCCTATCAAATCCAAGGCTAGGCTGCAAACAACTCAAGGTCACCGAAAAACCGTACACTGGCTGGCTGACTGCCAGGTTATGTAACATCATATCTGCCACTGATCAAGGAGCCATACCAAAATTACTAGGTCACCGTTGTACCCAGTTCCAGTTACAAGCGCTTTCTTCATTAGCCGTATTATTAGTATTACTCGTTATTATTATATACCGTGATCAGGGGGTGGCGGTCTCCGACGAGGGGGGGCGGCTGCTGCGGGTATTGCTGCTTCCGCACGGATGTGGCAGGTGGTGCTGGTTGCTGTGGGCTTTACCGATTCCGCGCGGATGGCGGGTGGTTCCGACCTCCAACGAATGGCTTCTCTCGTTATCTCTGGGGTCGGAGTTTGAACTTCGGGGTATCCGAATACCCCACGATGGGAAACAAACACGCGACAGCTGACATCATATACAGAGCGGTCGACATCTACTAGTCGTTCAACCGACGATGTTGCACTTACTGCCAGCAGAAATTGCCTTGCAGGTTGTATCGTATCTGCCCATTCAATCCGTGCACAAAATCACCCAAGTGTCTCATGCATGGCATGATCTGATAGCCGTGAATGAAAATGCTGTCTATCGCAATGCTGCCATCCTTCACCGCTTAGTATACGAGAGCGATTGTGGAGATTTAGCGCTGCAACCTCCACGCTCGGGGACCAACTGGAAATCATTTTGTTGGTTACCCGCATATCTTCCTAGCCAAGTGCTTATAATTTCCTCAGGTCGTCGTGAGTTCCAGATGGAATGGGGTTGGAGAGGAAAGGTTCCGCCATGTATCGAAGAGCTTCCAGCATCCGGGACCAGTGTACATCGTATCAAAGTCGATGAGGATCTTGGATTAGTGATCACCACCGGTCAGAGGGGAGGGCTCTTGGTAACCGACTTGAAGGGCAACACCCCGCTTTGGGGTCTTCCTCCCGTCAGCAAACGCTTTCTTATATTTCATAAAGCGATGTTCCTTGATCTGACAGCGTTTGGCAGTCTCACGTTGCTGAATATGCCCACTGCGAATATGATCACGGGTACATCATATTCAACCGACACGACAATTGCAAGGAAGTCTGGCGCCGTGCGCTCGATTCACCCAACGAAGATCACTGTACTCTATCCCCTCCAGACTCAGATATGCTTTCGGCGTGGACGGATGGAATCCCCCGCTGGCATGCTTCGACTCGTCATGGCCACTTTAGACCCTGGGCACTTCTTCGCATGCCAGAACACACTCGAGCTTTCCGCCTCTCGCATCTGACTTTACTGGCTTCGGCTGCAGAAAATGCCTATTTGTGGGACGTCTCACAGGGTCGCCTGGTTGAAACCATCGGTAGCATCCAAAAACGGTACCACCATCAAACTCTTGGCCATATCCATTATGTGGAAGTGAATGACAAGTATGCGTTCATATGCGGCTCAAATCAACTTAGAATCTTTGAGAGGGGCGGTGGTGCACTGGTCTACGATCTTTCTCCGAGAGATCTCCTCCGAAAAGTATGGAGTGTTGAAGAGCATCCGCCATTCGATTCCTCCGTTGTGAAATGCCAAAAGCTTGTGGAAAAAGATCTGAACTCAACTACGGATGACCAATTCATGGCAGGTTTGTTTGTTCCGACGTTGAGATTCACCCCGTTCTGACCCACCCCTTCTGTATAGTGCACGTGTCAGGCAACGGAAAAGATATTGCCGTGTTGACGATTTGTGGGGTGCTTATCATCATTCCCGGGTTTCAACGCATCATCTCGGGAGAAGCTTTACTGCCAGATATTGCAGTACAGCTTCGTTTCCCCCCAAGTAGTGGCGGTCTCCAGGATACGGCAATATATCTCGCATTGAGGGAGAAAGATGGTAAGGTTGCGGTTGTTACGGTAAGTGTTTTCGTTGTTTGTCTCCATCTAACCGCTGAAGGTTTGATTTAAAGCGCAAAGGTCTCTACTTGGTGTCTCCCGAAGTTGAATTCAGCACCCTCACGGCTGAACGTCCTCCTCGGCCGGGCGTTGTTGTTAGCAGTCTCACCAACTTTGAGGACAGTCGGCTGTTGTCCTTCGTATCATGTCTCCAGATCACGCGAACGGGTGTCTATTTCAACTGGAAACCAAGCAGACAAGAGACCCAGCCAGATAGGGGAGGCGGAAACAATGGGTTCCCGATGTTATTTGGTGGGCTGATGGGGCATCCACCTATGAATTTCCCACCTCCGGTGGCACAGCCGGAAATGGGAACGCCAGGTAATAATGGCAATAACGATCTGCATCCCAATAGTTATGCAGCAGCTACTCCTGATGTCCACGATAACGAAGAGGAGGTTGATACCGACGGGATGGATGGATTTCTGGGTTACCCGAACTTACCTCATCTCGAGCCTGCCGCACTTGACCCTGGCGAATATGACGAAGAAGAAGAAGAAGAAGAAGAGGAAGAAGAAGAGGAGGAGGAGGAGGAGGAAGACCACGATGACTTTGTTGATGGTTTCATGGACGAGTTTTTTGACCACGATGGTGATCCTTTCGAACATCCGATGCACGATGATGAGAATCCGGTGATGGTCCATATGGGAGTAGGCGACCCAGGTGGGTTTGTCAGCATTTCTCTGATCATCTATGTACTAATCCCGTTCAGCGGGAGGAATGCATCTTCTTGTGGACGAGTGGTTCCTTTCTATGAACATGAGCACCGTGTATCGTGTAAGTTTTTAGGGTGTAGGTCTTTCCCTTTGTGCTCGTGGCTTGCAAGGTTCGGACTAGTCTTGGTGTTTTATGGCTTGCGTCGATCGACAGAAGAAAAAAACGATATCTACGTAGTCGGCCTTCGCGAACTGTCAATAGTCAAACTGATGGTTGCAAGAACATTTACTCGCGGTTGTGGACTTCGAGTATGGCTTTCCCTAACTGTGTATCAGCACGATTCTCTTAGTTCCCTGGGTCTCCCCCCACACCGCCATCCCTCACGCACAGACTCCCATGAACATTGAGGGGTCATGACCCCGGGTAATACATGAACACTATGCTGATTCATGATACACAGGATACTAATCCATAAGTGGGATAGTGCACTAGCTGCAGATGTCACCTGTGCTCCCCAGCGCCGCTGGAGTAGGAGTTCGCGATTGTTCATCATGCGCTGAGTTTGGCTCCACCTGGTTACAACTATCTTCTGAGCCGAATACTATTGTAAGGAATCCCCACTTGTGATAATACGAACAGTATGTTTGGCTGGCTTATAGTTTGTCAATCGCTCCTCTCATGACGGAACCGCTTGGATGGACACAGGGACTGATCGATCGGATGGTGTCTGGTACGTGTGGAGTGCCGATTTCCAGCGTCGGATGATGCTTACCTCCAAAGCTCCACCAGGTGAGTTAGTTTTCACAAATGGGTACCGATCACACCGATAGATACGACTCGTTCCATTCGCCGACCTTCTTTCCAGTGGAGGATGAAGCCGGTAGGTGAGACCGCAAGTGTCAGAGGGCAAGAAATTAGATGATGTGCCTGAACCTGAGCACACGCCGATCTGCAAAAGCTAAGCGTCAAGTTGGAGCGCTTCCCCGTGGAGTAACAGTGCGTGCCGAGCTCTCAAACAATTCAAAAAACTCTCCAAAGTGTATGCTGTAATTCGACCGTTTTACAGGTTTGGCCTTTGATGGTCGTTATTCGGGTCCCAAGAAAAACCGAGTGCCATTCATATCTCATGTCCTCCAGGCTATATATAAGAAGGGTTCACAGTGGTTCTGTCTATTGACGCCACGCAGCCCCTGTCGAGGTAGCATCAGGCATGTCGAACAATACTAATACTTCCTCGTCGCCGCAGTTTCCCAAGGCATCCCATGCTGCTGATGCCTGTCCCGACATCCCAAACGGAGCCCATTCTCCCGCCGTTAGTCGTCCGACCATCGAGATGACAGAAGATCCGGACGACGTGATCCCCCCCACCCATGATGATCGCACTCTCGTGCTCTGCTTTGATGGTACAGGCGACCAGTTCGATGGTGACGTAGGTGGTCGCTATCTTTGGTCTTCTTGCACAACTTATTTGACCTCCACTCACCGCTAGAACTCGAACATCGTTCAGTTTTTCTCTATGCTGAAAAAGGATGACCCCTCTGAGCAAATGGTGTATTATCAGGTACGCTTGCTCACATTATGGCGGAGTCTATTACCACTCACCACTGGCACAACATAAGGCCGGGATAGGCACATACACTATCCCTCAAATAGCCACGCCCTTTTACGCCAAGCTTTCCAAGACCATCGATGCGATGGTGGGGAGCAACCTGGATGTTCACGTCATGGGTGTGCCGCTGGTCTCCACGTTCCCTTATCATGGCCACTAACAAACTCGTTTTCTGCAGCTGGCTACGAGTTCTTGATGCAAAACTGCGAGTTTTTTTTTTTTTTTCACATTTCGATTTCTTCATTTGATATTGACACTGATGATTGATACATCGACTCTACAGATGAGGCAGGAGATAGGATATGTCTGTTTGGGTTTTCGCGAGGCGCCTATATTGCCCGAGCGCTGACTGGCATGTCAGGCTTCCGTAACAGTATTGTATTCCGGAACACTTGCTTATCCCCACTACAGGCTTCACAAAGTGGGTCTCTTACCACCCTGCAACCACCAGCAGGTTCCGTTCGCGTACAAAATGTACAGCAAGGATGATGGTGAAGGCTGGAAACAGAGTAAGGCATTTAAGAGGGCGTTTTCTATCGACGTTGATGTCCAATTCGTTGGAGTTTGGTAAGCTTCTCGAGCTGATTGGGACAGTCATGGGTTTGGTTCCACTGATTTATGTATCATACGGGTACTTCGGATAGGGATACTGTTAACTCTGTGGGCATCATCCCTTACAGGCTGCCTTTTACAAAAGCAAACAACAAGATTCGCTACTTCAGGCATGCTCTCGCACTTGATGAACACCGAGCGTATGTACCCAAGTGACATTTGCGATATGATGATGCTCAGATATCTGAATCCTTGTACAGGCGCTTCATGCCGAACTTCTGCAATCGGTCCACAGACGCCGACAATAAGCTTGGTGTCCAGAAAGGGGAAATGCCTCGAAGCACCAAGAAGTCTCGCCCTGTTCGAACTCCCTACGACAAACTTCTGCATGAGGGGAGTAGCTTGAATGGGCACCACTAGGAATCAAATCTTCAGGATGGAGAACGTCGCTACACCGAGTCAATCTCGCAAACTGATGCCGATGAAGTATGGTTCGCGGGATGTCACTGCGGTAAGCTCGAACAGTTCAGGAATTGACATTGTTTCAATACTCACAACTCCGTTTCAGACGTCGGTGGTGGTTCCGTCGAGAACGGTACCCGACACAGTCTAGCCCGTATCCCTCTCCGGTGGATGATTCGGGAAATTTTCAAAACGAAGGTGGACATTCTCTTCCACCGCTCGATGTTGTAGCACGTTGGCATGGACCCTTCAACATTGTACCTCCACGTGACTCCCCGCCCACCGGCTATCTTTAACCGCCCTCTCCTCCCGGCGAAGATTGACTCTGGTACACCGTACCATGAGGATGGTGTACCAATCCAGTGTACTATCGAAGGCAATTTTGTGAGCGAGGAAATGGAGGATCTCGAATGATGCGCTCAGCCCCATGTACGATCAACTCGAGATTGCGCCATATTGGTGGATACTCGAAATGCTGCCGCAAAAGCAGCGCTACCAGAGAGAGGATGACACGTGGATCGGGGATGTCAAGTGCGTAACTCTCGTCTTCCCTTCGGAAGTCCGTGTGCTGAACCGGTTTGAATTTCAGACCTCAGGGTAAACATGGGTGGGGGACGCGATATCCCCAAACGACGCACCCTGAAGATACATCGAACGGTCAAGATCCGGATGGAAGCAGACACACTTAAGGAAGGGAAGTACTGGCCGAAGGCAAAGATCAATGTTGAACCTACATGGGTGGATTAAAGGCTGCGCCAAGTACGGAGGCAAGACAAGACCCTCATCCATTTACTGGATACATTTATTGGTAATTCTTCGTCCGTGTCTTTCTGCCAGCATGTACCATAGTACTTACTGCGTTGTGTGTACAATTATCCCTGCCTCTCTTACTTTGTGTGTATTATGGTTCTGTCTCCCCATTTTTAAGGTTTTCAAGATCAAGATCAATGAAATTGCAGTGCTACTGTATGATTTCAGGTTAGGTGAGTTTTGGTAAGTATAGTTATTGCAAAAATGAAGAACTTAGAGGGGGCAGATATTTGCAAAGTCTAAAATAATCTGGCCTTGGAGAGCTAATAGTCAATATTCTTAGCAAATTCTGACTTGTCAAATATTGACTACCATGTTCAAATAATGTTACCATAAGGACCCCATGCAGTCTGCTTAGTCACAACATATGTGTGTGTCATGACCATGACATCAGCATATGCCCCTAACACTTCTCCACCCTCTTCTGACATGTTCCCATGCTTCTTTGCCCTCTTCCAATGCATTCCCATGCTCCTCTGACCCTCCCAACATGTCTCTGCACCTCTCTGAGGTCCCCTGTCCACACTCCAACTGCCTCTGCTCACCTGTGCCTCCTCTGAGGCCTTGGTCAGCTCAGTGGAGTGTTGGACTTGCAACCCTGCATTTAGTGCTGTTGGCAGAAGTTTGCCATTTTGCCAGTGGCAATTGCTGGCCATAGCATTCTGGGTCTGGCAGAAGGTGGCAGAATAAACAAGCTGTCAAATTAGTGTCCAGTCACATATGCTATGGAAATTTTAAACTGTATGAGCACAAATGGTTGACTCTGATGCTATGATGTCACAGAAAGGCCACCCACCCCCAAAGCTTGCAACAGACAATTTCCAGTGGCTTGAGAAAGTTGACAACAAGTCTAATTGCTGGTACTATGGATGCATACACTGCACAACATCAGCAGGGACTGTTGGAGTTTGACATACTTACCTTAGTTGTGTTCCAGCAAGCACAGCATTATGTAATTGAAAAAGCATATGCTTTGCAGTTACTTATTTACCTGCACCTCAGCTTCAACCAACTTGAAGTCTGAGTGACAAAAATCTATACAGATAGCTCAGTTGTGCACAGATAGGCAACAATGTCTAGTATATTCACCCATACAGATAGCTAGGTGCATGGTAAGTATAGTAAAGTAAGTGGAAAGGTATTGTACTCACCTCAGTCACACACAGATAGTGACAACATCTGAGGTGATTTGGTTTACAGTGTAGAACTAAATACTGTACTTGTAACAAGAGATGTGAAACACTGGATGTTGAACCCATCTACATACAATAAGTATTGTCTTGTGAGATGCACTATGGTCTTCATGGATAACAAGAAGACTTGCACATAAGTGCAAGACACTGTAGATACAATAAACATAAGGGCATGGAGAGTTAGTTGTGCATTCAGTAATAGTGTTAAGTAAGAAAAGGTTTAAAGTGGAAAGTAGTTCTCATGACCTGAAGTGGACATGTTCAGAATGGACTATGTGTGACTTGCCAAATCTAACACTCCCCCTCGAGTAGGATGTAGGCTGAGTTTGACAGTGAAGTGCTTCACCTTGGGTGATGGTAAGGCTTTGGTCAGGGTGTCAGTGATCATACCAGTGGTGGGGCAGTAGATTAAGTGGGTCTTGCCATTTTCAATGACCCAGCAGATGAAGTGGAAATGGATATTGATATGTTTGGTGTGTGCATGATATTGATGATCTTTGGTGAGTGTGATAGCAGATTGATCTGAGAACAACATGTTTTCTCCAGTACTATGCCTAGGGACTCTGAGGCAGCCATTGATTTCTCCTGGCATGGTGCTGATCATAAGTGTTTTGTATTTTCCTCATGCAATTTTCCACTTGCTGATAAGATAGGCATACCATCATGATTGCACAATCAGGAGCTATAACTTTCATTATGATGACATCACTCCATTATCACTTGCTGGGGTGTTGACACCTACTGGTGCTAGTTGTAGTAGTTGGTAGTGCTGAATAGTGTAGGTTTATTGGCCATCTCAAAACTATAAATCTCTAATGGACTGATTGATTAGAGGTGCACATTTTGCATTTTTGACACTTTTAGTTGCAGATATCACTGGGCACCTGCTGTTATTATGGCAGGGCATGCCACCCCATGTACCAGGTGAATTGGTGTAAGTATAGCAGCACTGTGGAGACTGCAATGCAATGTTTTAGATGTGTTTTGTAAATCTCCACTATTTTATTTGTGCTGTTTGGAGTTTTCCCACACATCTGGGAAGTGTAGTTTGTGTGCTGTCCATTCAATTCCTGATGGATTGACTTGATACTTTCTTCATAGGTAGCTAGGGACATGGGGCATGCATCCAAGGTATTAAGCATTGTGTAAACTATGTGTGGGATGCATGCTGTGATGTTCTTTCACTTTTTCCATTCCCCTTATATCTCATCAACCAGTGACTTTGATTGGATAATACTTCAACATGTTGTAGATCCCCCTAGACCATCCCACCTGCAAAATCACAAATGCATATGTCAAGAATTGAATGAGTGGTGACATGATTCATGTTGAAGCACAGCCACACTTAGCATTCAGGTGTGAGTTAGTCATGTGCTAGGTACTAGTGCCAGATGTGAGGTAGGTGCAGTCATGTGGTGTCACATGACTCTGGATTCACATGACCACATCACCCTTGTGACCACATGATCAGCCCCTCCTGTGACCAAAGGCATTGTATCACATGATCATAGGTCTCAGTCCAGTCATATGATATCACGTGATCACCAATTGATCTTGGCATGTGACCATTAGGTGCACATGACTGATCAATGTCATGACCTGGGGTACCAAGTCACATGACTCACTGTCACATGACCTGGGTCATGGGTGCCAGAAAGATGTATGTCACATGACCACATATCATGTGACTTCACCAGTGCCAGGCTGGGGACACTTTGGGTCACATGACTGTTATGGCATCAACCATGTGGCTGAATTACATTGTCACACACCAAAGGTGTTTGGTGAGGTGGACATGGATACAGCTGATGAATGGAGATGAAGACCATAGCCCTCATGTGAAGAAGGACAGCCAGAAATGTTGGCAGTCATCCCTCACACAAGAATGAGCTGTCAGTGCCAAAGAAAAAGAAAGGGAGTGAGTTAAGTGCTGGTTAAAATTCTTAAGTGCCTGTGTATGGCATTCCAGTTTTTGACATATCTCCACTGTTTCTGCAGATACCAAGACCATTCCCACACTTGCTTGTAGTGCTCAGCCACACCATCCTACCTTCCAAAATTGGAAAGGATTTGTGCACTCCACATGTTTCTGCAGCACTCCCTCCAAAAGACACTCATTTCACTAATTCTTCTGATATGGCCACCTCCACATCAATCATTTTGCTTGTCCCCTTTGCTAGGGACCATGGCTACATATATCTACCAGGTGTTCCTACCAGCTTCTGTCCTGAAGTGTCCTGGTACATCCCACCCTTGTCTGCCCCCTCTCAGCCCATCCAGCTTGGATAGCATGTTCTTTTTGTCAGTATGGCCTCTAGGAGGACATTCTTTGGTTGCCTCAGGTCTGTCATTCACTTGGAAAGGTCTTATGTGGTCATTTCAGTCTCTCCAGTTCAAGAAGTATATGGATCCTTCCTCCCTGCTCCCTGCAATGTCTTCATACCAGTCTTGTCTGTCATTCTTCCAAGATTGCAACAGCTACAGTATAATCTACTGTTCTCCACTCTCCCTGATTACATCCATGATGAGTATGATGCACATCTTGCCTCCTTGTTGCAACATACAGCAGAAGACACTCCCCCTTCATCCTCTCTTCCAACAGAGCCTCATTCATGAAGTTTTTATTTGCTTCACTGAGAGGATGGTTTGGGGGGGAAAGTTGTGATCCCCTATGCTCCTGTCACCCCACAGACCCCCAAAGCTTGACCCCTGTTGACATCTGACTCACCCTGTCCACTTTTGGATGTACTATATTGGCATCAGATCAGCACTGCCTCTCTGTCATCCCACCTTGGCCTAGAAGTGATCTCTTGAAGATGTGACATGCACAGCCTCCCCCTAATGCAATTCCAGTGCACTTTCCCAGTTCCTGACATTACTTGACTCATACTTTGATGTTCTGACTGTCTTTGACTATGGAGAATCCCCAGCCAGCCATGGAAAATCCCCAGCATGCCATGGAGAATCCCTAGTGGGCTGCATCAGGAAAACAAAACTTTTTCAAAGTGGTCTAATAGTCTACACTGCATCTAATGATGTCTTGATATTTGCAGCACTTTAGTGCTCATTGTCTAACATCATCTAATTCATGCTGTCTTTGTTATGCCGATGACTCATGTCGCACCATGGATTGAGTGTCAATGACACAGGCACGTGACAGCACAAGAAGGGGCATGTAATTTAACTTCACTAGCAGAGGAACACTAGTCTTGGCCAACTGAAGTCATACTGGCGAGTCCTTGTTGGTGCAGCATGCAGAGCTAAGGGTGGTTGCAAAGTAGATTTTGAATGAGGGGCTGGTATGATACATGTGGGTTTATATATGTATGTACAGTACCATACTGCAAACATTCAAAAACACGGTTTAACCACTCACCAACCTCCAAAGGTGGCAGGTGCAAGGGCAACCCGACTGTGGACCTAGCTTTGCAGGTCTAAATGCTAAACCATTGGTTTTAGAGGGAGAGGGATTAAACATGTACCGAGTCAAAGTGGAGCGTTCACCTGGGGTAAACATGTCACGTGACCATGTGGATCATGGAAGAAAGGCAAACGGGCGTAGCCTGGCTATAGTACAACTCGGGTTTGACAGGGGATTACCATAAAAGGAAAGAGAAGGAGAAACATACAGAACATAAGTCCAGCTGCATAGACAGTGGCTTACAGGATACAAGAATGTCCCCATAGGTGGGACGAGGTGCGGGCACAGTATGTAAGCATCTAGGAGAGGAAAGAATGTGAGCG